AAAATGAAAATATACGTGTCTAATATTTTTTCGTTACCTAACTGACGGACTAATTAGTTTTAATTTTTATTAATTAAGAGAATTAGCAATTTGAGGATTGTTGGGGATTCAGGAATTGGGGAAAGGAAGGGGGGAACCTCACTTACACGACGAAACACAACACAACGTTGTTTCACGTCCGTTTTCTGTGAAAACTGATTTATCTGAAAACAGTATCATTCATATTAGAAAAAACTGTGCTAAACCCTTCTTTTATAGGTGGAGAAGGCCCGTAGCACCAGCAGTGGACACTCAGAGTCAAATGTAGATAATGATTATGATCACTCATCGACTTTCAACTCTAGGTATATTAAAACGATAAAATCGAAATCAGAATAAACTACACCTGCCTGTTCGTACCTATATCTTTACCTCAAATCACATCACATTAAAAGCCCATAAATGTCCACTGCTGAGCAAAGCCTCTTCTCACACGGAGAAGGTTTGAGCATTAATTCACCATGCTTGCTCATTGGGGGTCGTCGATTACAAACTTTCCAGGTTTCCTCACGATGTTTTCCTTTACCATATGTCAGTGGTGCCTAGATAATCTTAGAAAGTACATATAACTCGGAAAAAGTCACATTGGTACTTGCCGTTGGTAAGTTTTGAACCCGCACCCTCATGCATGAGAAGCGAGCGTTTTAACCAGGCCAACATGATATCTTTACCTGCTATTGACTAAATAATCTCGCATTAGATTCCCACTGGCCAATAGGTATGTCATTTCACGAACAATGCGATCGGAACGTGCTAACTGTAATCTGCTAGTGGTAGTGGCATTCCTAACGTAATTAATGCAAGTATCAAGATTGTTTCGATAATAGGTTTGGCTTTGTTGTTACACACATAGGTAGGTAAGGGATTATGAAATGGGCAGGTTGTGGGTGGTATTTTAAATTATGTGCCTAATATTGTAGGTAGTGTAAAAAGGGGATTTTATGTTGGAAGTTTTAAGAAAAGAATTGTCAATCCATTACCTAATAAAAATGAAAAATCGTACCTACTTATTTGTAATTTTAATATAATTTTAACCGACTTCAAAAAAAGGAGGAGGTTCTCAATTCTTTTATTTATACTAATGTTTTATTTTTCTTCGTTAATGTATTTTATAAGGTAATAGGTAGTGAATTTACTAACTGGTTACATAATCGAACTTACCCCTCTCGTGATCTTTGAGATCTATGAAAAATATGACTCTAGGCCGCTTTGTGTAGTAAGTGTCACCGATTCATGGTAGATGCCCCACCCACACGCACGAAGAGCTTCGCATCAAGCTTCCTTGTGCGTACTACTAAGGAGTGGAATTCTTTGCCAGAGTCTGTAATTCCTGAAGGGTATCTTCAAGACCCGAGTGAATAGGTTGCTTATGGGACGACATGATCCATCGTAGGCCGCATCATCGCTTATCGGTGATATATATGGCACTATCAAGCCTGGTGAAGCGGGATAGTGCCATAGTTATCAAACGTCGGCCCATCAAATATAAAAAAAACTGCAGTGTTCACGCGGCAATCGAACTTAGTAGGTAAAACCAAACATAAATTAACTACTTATCGTAAACTCTAAAAGTCACCCTTCGAGGTAAAATCCTATCAATAACATGTAGGGGGCTATTACCTAATACTTCAGTGCACAGCAAACCCAATTAATTCAGATATTTGCCGTCAATTATAACGGGGCGCTGGTATAGCTGCAATATGCACAAATCAATTTAACGCCCATTGCCTGTGGTATTCACATTAAATTACTTTAAAGGCACGCTGGTTTGATGTCACTTCGTACAAAATTTAATAAGAACAAACAAGCTTTAGATGAGACTAAAGTATGATAAGAATAAAATAAGGTAATAGGTAAGGTAAAATAGGTCAGATACTTACTTCAAGAAATAGGAAGAGGTGTTGGTACAGTCAAAGGTCAAAAGTCCATTGCCACCGTGAGTGATGTCACACGGCAATGCGTAAGTAATTTCATATTAATGTGCATAAAAACGCAGTGGACTTTTGACCTTTGATCGTACATATAGTATGTACCGTGTTTATACCATAAATGCACTCGGGGCCCGTGCCCAGGACTCCCCATCCTCACTGCCCCCGAAGAACCGACAATTTCTACGACGGATACACACCCACTGCACGGTGCGCAGCAAATTTCGTTTTTCGTTCGATTCCCGCACGGAGAAAATCTTTATGTGGTCCAGTAATTGTAATTTCGGGTGTGGGTGTTATGTGTATATGAACTTGTAAGTTTGTAAACGCACCCACGATACAGGAGAAAACCCTAATGGCAACGTTAAAAAAATATTCCACAAGGGCCCCGAATTATTGTGCGCAAGGGCCGCAGCGTAGTCTAAGACGGCCCAAGGTACATAAGAAACCATTAATTAGGTAGGAAAGTAATTTTTATAGGTAATTAGTTCATACTTACTTAAAAATCTTATTTATTTTTCAACGGTTATTGCGATATGCTTCGATCCACACCCCATTGTCACCTATTAGTTTTTCTTTTGGACCGGGTACATTGCAAAACGAGGTCTTTTCTCTTGGCAAAAGACCTTTGCTATAGGCATATTATGTTAGGTATATTACAATTGTCAAAAAATAATTGCTGGTTTTTAGATCGTAAAAATCACCAACCAAAATTTTTAAAACTTCTAGCTTCTAGCTCGTTCTTTCCCATAGAAAACTAGGCCTAACATATTTTGGGACCTAAATTCGAGATAAATATTTGTATGAACTCGCATTAAAACGGTATACAGTTGTAATTAGCTTCAAATCATGTGGTTATCGCTTATTATATACTCCATTACCGCAAGCTAATCATCGAGCTCGCTCGTTTACCCTAAGTAGCGTACTTACCTAGCATATTAGAAACTAGCTGTTGCCTGCGACTTCGTCTGCGTATAATTCCTGTTTTATCCCATGGGAGCATTGAATCGGGATAAAAAGGAACCTATCATCTAAGTCAGTCTCGGAGAACCTAACGGGTTACCGGAGCTCGGGCTCGACGTGCAGGAGAAGGAACGGGGTGGTTTTTAGTCAGCAAGTCTGACACTCCCTCCCGCCTCACCCAGGCGGGAGAAACAATTCGATGATTTTCCCCCCTTAAAAAATCACCTAAGTAAGCTCATATACCCTCACTTTATACTACCCCTTTATACAAGTTAAATTTCATTAAAATTCGTTCAGTAGTTTCAGCGTGAGTGACGGACAAACATCCAAGCAAAGAAACTTTCACATTATTTTATAATATTATAGTTTGATGTTCGATTTTAGATTTCTTTAGTACCTACCTATAATTAAAAACTAGAACCAGAAATTGTCAAAATGCCTTTCTTGATATTAGGTAGATACCTACCTACATCACTGGTGAAAAAGGATTGTACAAATGGACATTTAACCTACCCATTAATTTATATAACACGCTTTGTTCTGAATATTTGTAAACCGTTAAAAAAGGGTTTTAAAAAATAAAACTCAAATAGACATCAAATCATTTTATTCCCTTAGATTTGATCCAAAAGTGTTGCATGAGTATTTGACACGTAGGTACATAGTACTATAAAAAAATATATCAAAAACCAGAAATATAATTTAGGTACAAAAAACAACAGTAAAAATATCAGTCGTATAAAAAACCAAATCAAAAATATGTCAAAATATCTTTTTATATTATCTAGTCTAGGCACACAGTAAATCGGACACACACAAATAAAATAGAAAAAACGTAACACAGAATTTTAGGCGAATAAAATTGAGGCGGAAATTTAAAAATCACAATCTTACAATAATTCTTAAATTACATACTTTATAATTATTTTTAATCTTAAATCTAAGCAACAGATTATATATCAGTATTAAGTTGCCAGATTAAAATTATATACGACCTTATTACACGTTTACGTTAATATTTAAGATTCGTTCATAAAGGTTCAGAAGGATTATATTATTTCCGTTAGTTAAAATATAATTATTATTATACTTATATGTATTTACAATTATTTGGCATTCGCTTAGGTGAGTAATTATAAATTAATTTTAGTATTAATTTAACTCTTTAATAAATTAGATACCTAACTCAAATTCATAAATTAGGACACAATAAATATAAAAAATACTAATTAAAATTTCGAAACTATAAATTATGTCATAATTTTTTTTTATACTGATTTAATGTCTTTTGGCACATTGCATGTTTGCCAATCTTAAAAATAAATTAGTTTTACATGGCATATTATCACACATTATATCCAGTGAAGGGGGAAGCAGAGCAGCACATATTAAGTATAACATTAACTTTTTGTGTATTTTAGGTCATAAGTATGTAAAAAAATGGCAGTCAGTCCTTTCAACATACTTCACATTGGATTCAATTAACGTAACTTATCTACTAATAGGGATTAAAAATCCTAACAGTTTAGCCAGTAGGGTAACCGTTCGAAGCCTGAGGCAAATACATCGGATGGGCCCCGTTCCCTATAAAAAGAGAGGAGAGAACGGGAGAACAACTTACGATAGTTACGTCATTGAGTTTAGTTCGACCTATGAATCAATTAGACTCATAGCAGTACTTAACTATTTGACTGATAACAGAAAAATGTTAGAGGCAAATTCTCCGCTAGTCACTTATGATCTCAAGGCATTTGTATCATAATTAATAATGAAAATTATACCTAACACACACATGTACTTGAATTAAACGAAATGCATTGAAAGTTAACGACTGCACGGTTGGTGCGGTGGCTGGGTAACTGGCTGTCGCACAACGTGTAGTGGGTTCGTTTCCCGCAAGGAGCAACTCTGTGTAATCCACAAATTGTTGTTCCGAGTCTATGGATATAAACTTGTAAGTTTGTAAACGCACCTACGATAGAGGAGAGAATCCTAGTGCGGGGTCGTTTTGTAAAGAAAAAAGGAAAAGAAATAAAAATAAGAAAAAAAGAAGGAAAGTAATAATTAATGGAAATTCTAATACTAATAAAAAAAGCTAAATAGTAAAAAAACTATTAAAATCATTACCTAATTAAATTATGAGCTACCCGAGTTACCAATCGAGGTACATGGTATATAATTATTAGGTAATATAATACTGACGTTTCTATATTAAATACTGACATTCGTCTAAACCTAGGCACTAAGTCTATAAGCGTTATATCTACTGCAACCAATATAATAAAGTAATTATCAGCCTTACTTAAAATATACTAAAAATTCATGGAATTTGAGGACAATACTTTCTGCACACAAACATAAAGGGTGTTAATAAACCAATGCAATCGATCGACCGTCGATTGATGCCATTGGCCGATGGTAGAATGGATAAGTCAACATCGATCGTGCTACTTGAGCTCCGCATTGTCACCCACAGTGAAATTAACGTCGACCGATTCCATCGATCGGTTGCCGGTTCAGTCAATCGTAATCCGTCGATCAATAAAGTTAACACACTAATCGATCGATCGATCAACCGATGGCGATTGATAGGATCGATCGATTGCTATGGTAACACTGTTACAATATTTCTTAACATAATAATTACTCGTCTTGACAGATACGAGGTAGACAGAAGTGCATCTAACGCAATGCCCACTTTTCCTCTCCATCAATACCATCGTTTTTAGCTTCCATCACATTCTTGCATCGAAGTTCTTAACTACTAAGCAGTTCCTTTAATAATATCACCAGATCGAGTTTACATTTCTCCAAAATACAGCAACAACACACAATTACTTTTCAGTATCTCTGTAACAAACACTTTGAGTGCTAAATGAATTATGAAATATGACTTTCACGTAACTAATTGAAGAGATAACTCTAGTTCGTTACAATTCGTTTGCAATGCAACATTCGCCACGTTGATTATCGTATCGTCTCACGAGTATAGGCTCCTGGTTTAGCTTGAAAGTGGTCGAGTTACGTGAGTAAGCCATGCAACATAATTAATTTAATTCGTTTCACGATAGTTGTAATAGGGTAGATGACTAATTTTTATTTTAATGTCCGTCTAGTAGATTATTTTAAAATATTACACACGTATTTTTTTTATAGAAACGAATACTTTTGACGATATATTGATTTGAAATGTCGCGTGACGTCACTTCTATGTACATTTTATACGTAGAAATGACGTTTTAGCCCCCACTCCTAAACTTTGATTCTTTATATCTAAGTATAATTTTATTATACAATCTAAATAAAAAATACGTGTCTAATATTTTTTCATTACCTAACTGACGGACTAATTAGATTTTTAATTTTCATACCCTGTCATCATCCCTATTCTCTCAGTCTTCAGAGTCCTCACCTAGCATACATACGCATTCCTAACCAAGTTACCAAGCATATTTTGATGTTGGCGTCAGGCACAAACATTACATCCGAATCTCATTACAATATTACAAGTATTAGTAAAAAATATTAGTTAAAATCTTAAATTAGTTTATCACCTGCTTCTTCCCTTCTAGTCCCATTAACCGTAAGAGTAAAATACCCTTTTAATACATGCGATCAGACTTCCAATAATTCTATTAGTTCGATATTAAAATATTAATATGTGTAGTTACCATACAAAATTATTAGTGTGTTAATTCTAAATAATACTAACCAAAGAATGTTGAAAAAAGGCGGACATAGTCTCTTGAAACAACGACTGTGGCACCTGGCTACTATAGACTTACACGCAGAATACACACACATTGACACGGACATCTGTCGCGTGACATGGCCGTTCAATACACCTCATACATTACGGTGCTGCAAGTACTGTACTGTACTGTACACACTTGAATACACTACTGACATTGTGCTTTAATCATTTCTTTAAGTTTAAGTATGACTGATTTTAATGTAGTTAATTATAATATTTGACTAAATTTCGTATGACTGCGATGGTATGATATTAATGATGTATGGTATAGATAATTATTAATTTTATGGATCTCTTAGATGTCCGAAATAAATGATTTTTATTTTTTATTTTTATTTTATTTATTTATTTCTAAGTAACATTACGTCCGCCTTCTGTTCAACGTCCTTGATTCTACCATTAACCATATACAATGAAAATAGTATTAAACAACACTACATTATATTGACTTAAATCCCATACAGTTGCGACAAATGTATACACACACACACACACACAAAATTGATTTAAAAAATAATTACTTGAATTAACAAAGCTTGCAACATACTTTAACCATTTATTAGTAGGTCTCTACAAATACTACCAATGATTGATTAATAATACCAAACTAATTGATAAATATTGTAATGATATGGTTATTATTATTTTTTCGGATTACTCACGTAGTGATTTGACGAGGAACTCGACTAGTTTCAAGCCATGCTAGAGGCTCATATTCATGAGCAGCATTTCGCGACCCGCGACGCGGCATGGCTTGAAACTAGTCGAGTTCCTCGTCGAATTACTACGTGAGTACCTAAGCCGAAAACATAATAATTTATTTAGTATATCTCACGAAAGTTACAATACAGATATGGTTATTGTTACAATATTAGTACTAAAGTTACTGATATTAGTTGAAAAGCGACACCTATATGACTTATTTTACAATGAGACTTTGCACAAAATACTGTATTTTTCACCCTGCAAACCTCGAACTGAGACCAGGTTCCGGGCGAAACATCACTTACCAATATTCAGGCATACTCGACGTCTATTACGTATCCCATTACATTTAGTCCTTTGAAAATACCTGGTGGTTTGTTCAGGAAATTAAATATCATTTCTATTACGAAATACATCTCATTTTTCTAAATTCATTTCTTTATATACATTTTTACAAAATGTTCATATCCTTAGCTTAATATATTTATTAACATTAAAATTTTTACGAAACTTGCTTTTTTTTCTTTTTTAAATGTTTAATTTTGTTATAACCAAGGTTTTTAAAGTTCTATTAAAAGTCTTTGATTTTATGTTCCCTAAAATAAGAATGTTAATTTCGTTAGTAGTAGTTTCTTTTTTAACAACTAAAATTTTTTTGTTCACGTTCATTTTTGTATTTATAGTTTTTATTATCACTTAAGTAATTAAATGTTGGTTAACCTATAATTGGCGAGTGTATAAGCCTAAATACTTATTGTTACTTTCATATCACTTAATACTATGTATACAGAAGCTGTCGGTATACCTATTTAAATAAATAAATAAATAAAAAATCCTAAACTACACCACGGTAGTAAAAGAATATAAGGTAGAAGGATATAAATTTAGCTAAAAATCGCGGGTTACTCATGTGAGTATAAAGTCAAAGCATTTATTTCAATTAAACCACAATTTGTTACTTTTGAAACGTCAACAAATACAAAATAAATAATAGTCTGTCAGTCAGTCCGTCAGTGAAGGTAGGTGAAGATGGGTGCTAGTTCCAAAATGTAGATTCGAATGGAGAAGAACGAGCAAGAAACTCCATTCGTTACTCTTTTGAAAAAAGTTACATTCTACAATGTCTCTGATACATATTCGAGCCACAGAGAGGTTCTCCCTCATGAGATGTCGCGCAGCCTACCTGATCTAAAGGAACTAGTAGAGCTTATCTCAGTATATTCACGTGAGTAACTCGCGTCGCGATTTTTAATTAATTTAGTATGTCTGTTATGATAAAAACAGAAGGATATTACAGAAGAAACTGTTACACTTTCTATTCTCCAAAAGCATAACATATAACTTAACTTCACGCCTTTTATCCCCAAAGGAAAAGGCAGAGGTGCACATTAAGGCACTGAATGCCACTGTACAATGAAACACCCACTTTTAACTATATATCTTATGAGTCCCATGTGATAGGGGATGAGCCTATTGCCATATACTGGGCACATTTCCAGACTCCGTGTTACTACTGAGATATTTTGAAAAAACCCAGTAAGACTTTGCCCGACCCGGGAATCGAACCTGAGACCTCTGGCCTGGCAATCACACTTGCGACCACTCGGCCAACGAGACAGTCAAAGTCAAAGGCGGCCAAAAGCATAGTAAGTATACATAATACATAGACCCACTTTTCGTCGTCAGATATAGGCGAATACGCGAACTACGCAACAAAATGAATAGTCAATAGCCATTTATAAAATTAGCACAATTCCAAGCTTAACTATGATTACCAGCCTTATAACTGCCGGATAAAGGCTTCTTCTTCCCTAGAGAAGAAATGAGCATTAATCTCCAAGGTTGCTCAAGGAAAATTGGCGATTTCAAACTTATAATTTAGAATTGGCTAGTTTCCTAGGTTTAAAATAAATTGTTTCAACTTTTCAATGCAATAAATAATTAAAAAATAATCATACTCTCATCCATTGATTTGGCAATTTACCTATTACTTTCCAATTTTTTCTCGCTAATTTTAAGGAATTAATGTCGGAATACTGAAACTCAATTTTAAGTCGTGCTTAAATATCGTGCCATCTCTGTCATTTTACAAAGAATTTGTGGAGACAGAATTATACTTAAGCGCGACTTAAAATTGAGTAGCGATTAAGTATTCCGACATAAGTCCATCTCATCTCATCGATCGAACACAAAAGTATCGTTTTTGACATTTCAATAAAAGTATTGAATTTGACTACCTGTCAGCTACCGTATTATAAGTCCAAGTTTCCAAACTCAATTAATACTGTTTAAAAAGGATACTAATGCATCTCTCAGCTTGTGAGGGATGTCCGAACGTGGCCACAGCACATCCTGGCTGAGTCAACTGTACCACCATTACCTGGCCACACTGCGCCAACTGTTCACAGAGTAGTGGAAACGTCGTGGACGGTGGAAGCTGGAAATGAAAGCATTTTAATATCAGGTCGTAGAAAATTCATCAAAATGAATAAAAGGTAGTTTGTGTAATTTTCGACAGTTAAGAGAATTATTATGAATTTTTAATTATGTACTTTGTAAATTAGGGTGAAAGAATAAATGAATGAATGAATGAACGAATGAATGAACGAACAAATGAATGAATGAATGAATGAACGAATGACGAATGAACGAAATCATTTATTTGTAAACATAGATTGTATAAAGTTGTTTGAATGATTACACCCGAATACTGAAAAGCTACTCAATTTTAAGTTGTACTTCATTTCATAAAGAATTTGTAGGGACAGCACTATACTTAAGCGCATCCCAAAATTAAGTGACTTTTCAGTAGGGCACGACCCAGGAAAATCAAAGTTCACCAGTATCACTTAGCGCATGTCTAGAGTAAATAATTTTGTCATTTTAATAATTGTTAAGCATTTAACTTATTTATCAATACTTACATTAGAAAATTTCACTGTCACATTTCCTTTTGGTGGGAACCCATTCAAAGTCGGTGGCATTATATGAGTTGGTGGAGGACCCATAGTGTAGGGTAAACGAGGTCCATAAGGACTGGGATGAAAGAACCGAGGCCTATCATTTGGAGCAAGTCGAAAATAGGGGTTAAATATGCAAGAATTAACCATACAATTTGGCATAATGTCGGTAACACTGTAATTTGGTTTCTTTGGAGAAGATGGTTTAACAGAAGGAGACCCATTAGATATATCTTTGCGATCCTTTGAAGATTTCTGATTATCACATCCTTTAGCACCACCACTGGCTTTGGATCTCTCTTTACCGTCTTCGGGACCAGGCTCAGGACATTCCAAATCATCAATATTAACAATCATAGGCACAGTTGGTACTGTCGAGTTAATTACATTACAAGCGGGCGGCATTTTAAAAATCTCCGCAATAGCCTTTACAACCTCTTTGCTGTCTTCTTTTTCAAGGTTTCCTTTACTCTTGTTTGCAAACACCACAGGGTTTATAGCAGATTCTTGATGAGTTAAGTATCTTTGGTACTCATGTGCGATGTTCCGTAACGGTACTCCGCGCAGTCCTAAGCCCTGGCCAACCCCAGCAAGGCCTTTAGGCTTCACAATGATATCAGGGGGGTTCCTATCGATCATAATCTTTAGAGGAAGTCCATAATACATTTGTCCATCCAACATAGAAATGGCCTGAAATAGAAATATTACGTACTTTATGAAGTTCTTCGGGGTTATTAATTTTACTTGCTCATCGAAATTAAATAAGACCTTATAATGTATTTATTTAGAGTTCATAATCTAAACTCTTGGTCCCCTTTTGCTATTAAATTGTTCGCAAATTGAGAATGATACTATATTATTAGGATGAGTTTAAGAATTTAAGTTTCATAAACTTTCTAGGACAAAATCCTTTACACCTTTTAGAAGAGGTGACAAGGTAAAAATCGTGAATTAGGTTTTGTAATGTAAGCAAGATTAGATAGTTGTAGCGGTCTGGAAATACCGCAGACGACGACGCACAAGTTTTAAACATCTTAAGAACATTACTGAATTCAAGTATACACAAAATTATGAATTGTTTTTACTCGTGAAACGATATGTAACACTGACTTTGTGCCGACCCGGGAATTGAACCCACTAACAACGCCACTAGTAAACGTGGCGTTCATCTCAACATCGTCGCAAACGACGCCGTCGCCGGAGTTAGAAACACACGCGCGTAGTTCCCGACAGACGGCGCGGTAGCCGAGCGACACAAATACAAACACCAACACCGGCAGGCACTAGCCAGTAGGAATGTAATATCTATGCAGTAGGAATGTAATATCTATCCAGTAGGAATGTAATATCTATGCAGTAGGAATGTATTATCTATGCAGTATGAATGTATTATCTATGCAGTAGGAATGTAATATCTATGCAGTAGGAATGTAATATCTATGCAGTAGGAATGTAATATCTATGTAGTAGGAATGTAATATTTATGCAGTAGGAATGTAATATCTATGCAGTAGGAATGTATTATCTATGCAGTAGGAATGTAATATCTATGCAGTAGGAATGTAATATCTATGCAGTAGGAATATAATATCTATGCAGTAGGAATGTAATATCTATGCAGTAGGAATGTAATATCTATGCAGTAGGAATGTATTACCCATGCAGTATGAATGTATTATCTATGCAGTAGGAATGTTATATCTATGCAGTAGGAATGTATTATCTATGCAGTAGGAATGTAATATCTATGCAGTAGGAATGTAATATCTATGCAGTAGGAATGTAAT